CCCCTCCCCGCTCCTTTGCCCCCTCCCTCCCTCGGTCGCCGCTCCGGGAGGGAGAGACCGGACTCAGACCTCGCCAAGCGGGTAAAGACCAAAAAAAACCCAGCTCGCACAAATCGCTCCCCAGTGGACTCGTCCCAGGTTCCTGCCCTTCCCCGTCCCTTCGCTCGGCTCCGAGAGGGAAGAACCGGAGCTGGGAGCCCGTCGGCGATGAGCCACATCTACAGCAGCCACCTCTCCCCCATGGGCAGCCCCTCCATGGTGTATCTCCCGGCCGCCTTGAGCTTCTCCCCCAGCGGTGCCATCTCCCGCCAGGACCCCCCGCAGAAGCCCCCTTACAGCTACATCGCCCTCATCGCCATGGCCATCAAAGAAGCTCCGGAGCAGAAGGTGACCCTCAGCGGCATCTACCAGTTCATCATGGACCGTTTCCCCTTCTATCACGACAACAAGCAGGGCTGGCAGAACAGCATCCGCCACAACCTCTCCCTCAACGATTGCTTCGTCAAGGTCCCCCGGGAGAAAGGACGGCCCGGCAAGGGCAGCTACTGGACCTTGGACCCCCGCTGCCTGGACATGTTTGAGAACGGCAACTACCGTCGGAGGAAGAGGAAGCCCAAAGCCCCGGGGCCACCGGAGGCGAAAGGCGGCGCGGCCCCCGCCGACGGCGGGCAAGAGGGGCCGGCAGCCCGCCCCGACGAGCCCAAGAGGGCCAAGGGGAGCGCGGCGGCGGACTCGGGCGACGAAGGGGTCCCCAAACCGGGAGGGGGGGAAGCGGCCCCCTCCGGACCCCCGGCTTCCCCCGGAGCCCCCCGACCGCCCGCAGCCGCCGCCCCGCCGCACAAAAGCGGCCCGAGGGGTCGCAGCTTCAGCATCGAGAGCATCCTCGCCCAGGGGCTGCGGCAGCCCCCCCCCCCCCACCCCGGGGCAGCCCCCAAGGCGGCCCGGGAGAGCCCGGTCGGTTGCCTCGGCAGCTCCCTGGTCGCCAGCGGTGGCTTTGGGCCAGCCCTTAATGCCTCCCTCATGCT